GTTTCATTGCCCCTCCAGAAGCCTGAGTGGGATGTAGAGATGATGACATGGAAGCCCAGACTGGTTAAGAGATTTGCTCAGGTCACAAAGGCCCAAAGTGGGAAAGCTGGGATTTGAATCCACGGCGAGGTGGCTCAGTAGATAAGAACACTAGGCCTGGAGTCAGGAAGACTCCAAATCTGGCCTCAAACACTCAGTAGCTGAGGTGACCCTGGACCAGTCATTTAATGTCTGGTTGCCTTAATCCACTGGAGAAGGAAATGGCAAACCACTCCAGTATCTTTGCCAAGAAAACCCCATGTCCAGCACTGGTATGCTGTGATTCACTGGGTCACAAAGAGTTGGGCACAGCTGAATAACAACAACCCCCAAACCCAAATTCAGCAATTTTTGCATTCTAATAAACAATTTCCCTCATCTTAAGGTGGCACAGTGGATAGAGTACTGGGCTAGGAGTTCAAATCTGACCTCAGACACTTACTAGCTGCCTGACTCTTGGAGAGTCACTCTGCCTCTGTTTGCCTCAGTTTCCTTACCTGTAAAATGGGGGAAAATAATATCTAATTTGCAGAGTTGTCATGATGATCAAAGCAGATAATATTTGACAAGCATTTAGCACAGTGCCTTGCACATAATAAGTATGCTATAAATATTATTATTATTGTAGTGCTAGACTTGGAGTAAGGAAAATCTGACTGCAAATCTTAGCTAGTTATATAGATATAGTTATATGGATTATATAGCTATATGACCCTGGGCAGCTCACTTAACTTCATTCAACCTCATTTTCCTCATCTGTGTAATGGGGATAATAATAGTACCTATCTCCCGGGTTGCTGTGAGGTTCAGTATTTATAAATTTGTATGATATTTATAAAGCACTCAGAAAATCTTGAAGTACTACATAAATATTATATATTTATGTAATATCCAATAAGTTGGATGGTCTAGAGAACTTCTAAAGTTCTTCCTGATTGAATACTCTATCTTTGTATAATAATTAATGCTTCTTAGGGGCAGCTAGGTGGCTTAGTGGATAGAGAGCATTGACCCTGGAGTCAGGAGGACCTCAGTTCAAATCTGACATCAGACACTTAACAATTGTGTGACCCTGGGCAAGTCACTTAATCCCAACCGCCTCAAAAAAAACCCTAATATCTCTTCCTCTTTGACCTTCTTAATTTGGGGGGCATTTTCACCACATGACCTCACAGAGTTGTCCACCACTATAAATATCATGAACTTAAGAGATTCCAACGTAGCTTTTTCTCCCTTTAAGTCTCAAGTTAAAAACTGTCCTCACCTGATCCTGCTCCATTTATTTATTTTTAAATCTCTCTGGGTTCCTGCTTGGTCTCTGAGGACTCATTTCCTTCTTGGTGTTCATAGCAACCGTGAGTTCCTTTTTTCATCTTCGTTTGGTACACTTGGATCACGTGGTTTCTCTTATGCAATTTCTATTTCTAGATTTTTCCTTTAGGCTTTTTTTTTTTAATTCAGGGCTTGATAGGAGGTGTCTTCTGTCTGTCCTGGCTTACCTTTTAAATGTCTTTCCTCCTTTGCAAAAAAACATTTTGACCTGTTCACCTGGAGATGACTTGGGTTACAGTCTTTGGCTACCCAGGGTGGAATTCCCTTCACCTGATACTCAAAGCATTTGTGATTTGCTCTATCAAAGAAGATCGCCTTCATTCACTTCTTTAAGGATCTGAGATCTCAGGCCGGAGGGCACCACAAGTGACATCTGGTCTAACCCTCCTTTCGCAGAGAAGGAAAGTGGGGCCCAGGTAGTAAGTAACATACATCAGATGCAGGATTTGAACTCAGGCCCTGTTACTCCAGAGCCACAGCTTCTTCCACTGTACCACGAAACTTTGTAGATTAAGTCGTAAAAGGATTTGTTCTATAAAATTTGGATTCATTCAAAAGACCGCACTTGAGGATCTAGAAGGCCACAAGTCACAGGTTCCCCAACCCTGGGGAGTAGCTTGATATACAGGGAAGTTAAGTGACTTGTTCAGAATCACAATGACAGGAAGTATCTGAGGTGATCTGAAGTCTTTCTGAACACAAGTCAAACACTCTAGCCACTACACCCTCCTGCCTCTGTGTACCCAAAGCATGTCACAAACCCCAAATGGGATGAAGGATGACAAACTCAAACAGTGGATTGTTTTGTCTACACTCTACAAAACTGACACGGTCATTTTCATTCCTATTAATTTGATTAGTTTTTAGCACAAATAATCTAGTTGCTTTTGTCAAGAGGCATGGTGCAGTGGACAGAGCACCGGGCCTGGAGTCAGGAAGACCTGAGTTCAAATCCAGCCTTAGACACTTCATAGCTGTGTGACCCTGGGCAAGTCATTTAATCTCTGTCTGTTTCAGATTCCTCAACTGTACAATGGGGATCATAATAGCATCTACCTCTCATTGTGAAGATCAAATGAGATCAAATGTTGGCATGTAGTAGGTAGGTGTTTAATAAATGCTTACGCCCTTCCTTTCTCTCTGTTTTAGTGTTGTGTAGACTCAATCTACATCAAGAACGTCACATAAAATAATGGTGGGCTGGCCAGCAGTACATTTGGTACCTTCACAGTAATAGCTTGCCTGCATCTAAGAATACTCTGTTGCAACTCTTTCATCTTGGTTCCTGCTGGAAATTAGTCATGGAGTGTTTCATGGTCATTCTTCTTAGAACTGAACGAGATTCTTGGGTTTGGGATTTTATGACTCATAACCAACCATGCGCACATATACAGGACTTTGCCAGGATAAACTACTGCTTTATTAACTCTCTGTGCAGCTCGGCACCAACCCTCAAACACACATGAATCCAAGCATGCCAAAAACCATCTGTGAGCTTTTTCCTCTTCCCACATCAATCTTTTTGTTCCTGGCATGGGGGAGTAGCACTCCTTTATTTTCTAGTCCCAACTCTGTTTTTCTTCAGCAGCCACAGAGGCACAGTTTTGGTTCTCTTTCTTAATGGAACCATGGTTATTTATGATATCTTCATTTTTTCATTTATTGTCATGTCACTCATTTTCTTGTTTAGCCATCTCTGCCCCTAACTCCATAAACTTTATCATATGTATGTAGGAGGTCCCATAATTCCTGGGCACCGAAGCACTGAAGCTACATGGGCAGTAGATACATCTGTGGTTGAAAACATCCTTCTCTCTCCCTCCTTTAATTGGCAACATTTCCTCTAATTTCTCTGATTACTGCTCTTAAGAGTTGACTCTACAGTCCTTTCAATATTCCACCGGTAGAAGAGAAAGCATGCCGGATTTGGGGTCAAAGGACCTGGGTCTGAATTCTGGCTCTGCTACTTCCTCTCTTGGAGAGGCTTGATCCATCACCTCACCTACCTTGGACTCAGTTTTTGCATTTGTAAAATGAGAAGATTGGACTAGATGGCCTCTAAGATCTCTGCACGCTCTAAATCTATGAACCTGTAATAAAGCTTGGATGGTACAGCTAGACTGGTCCATTTTAGCCCCATTGGGGAAAATCCTATTGTCCTGTAACTACATTAACAGTCGATAGTCACAACATTGCTTTGCAGTGTAAAGCAATATATAATACAACTTTACACTGCAAAGCAATATACAATACAACAATATGGCTAAGGAAAACACACACACATACACACACATACACAATGAAAGCATTAAAGTACCAACTAAAATCCCATCTTCTACTGGAAGCTTTTCCTAACTCCTCTTAATTTCAATGCTTTCCCTTTTACTTATTTCCTATTTATCCTGTATAAAGCTTGCAATGTATATGTCTGTTTGCATGTTGTCTCCCCCATTAGACGTAAACTCCTTGAGGACAGGGACTATCTCTTGCCTCTTTTTGTATCTCTAGGGCTTAGCACAGTTCCTGGCACATGGTAGGTGCTTAACAATTATTGATGTACTATATATGTTTTAAGCCTAAACCCAGGCAAATATTCCTTGACAGTATTTCTCGGCCTGTGGGAAGGTAGTAGGTTAGAACAAAAACTTAAAGCATTTTCTTTATGATGTTGTTTATGATGACCCCATCTGGGTTTTCTTGGCAAAGATACTGGGAGTGGTTAGCCATTTCCTCTCCAGCTCATTTCACAGATGAGGAAACAGAGGCAAACAGGGTTAAGTGACTTGCCCAGGGTCACACAGCTGGTAAGCGTGTGAGACCAGATTTAAATCAGGAAGTTCAGTCTTCCTGACTCCAGGCCTGGCACGCTATCTACTGCACCACCCAGCTGCAGCTATATGAGCAGTATATTGGGATTCAAAGACAGGCTACTACACAGAAGTGAATAATTTTGCACATGTCCTGTTCCTTTTCATTTTCCATTAGAGCAGCTTCATAAGACTTGATCTGTAAGAAGCCCTGACAATAACAGACTTTTTTCCTAAAGAATCCCTTTGTGTATGAGTAGATTTTTTTTTAATCTCAAAGAAAAGCCAGCAGAGAAGTGGTTCAAACTGCTGCTTAACCCAAAGCAGGTATTTACTTCTGAAAGCATAGGAAAGCAGACGGTGGTGATTTTTTTTAAAAATTAGGATAGATTTTCACAGATTCCAAGATGCTGAAGGGATCATGCTGATATGTCATTCTGTGATTCCTAACTACACCTATGTGAAACATGGAGATTTTAATGAGGATTGTTAATTCACCTGGAAAAAAAAAACCCATCATCCTATCCCTTCTTGGCAGTTTAAGAGGTAGCACAGTGAGAATGGGTTCTGCCTTCTTAGCAAGTGCCTTCTACACCTCCTAATTTGAAATTTCCATCAACCAGAGGGAGAGAGTTATGGTTCTTGAACCCCAAACCTGGAGATCGCAAGGATTACAGGAACTGTATCTTTTATAAAAGCCTCCAAATTCATTTTGTCAAGAGCTTGCTCTCAGATCATCAAAATCTCCCCCACTCTCCATTTCTTCCATTAGGCTCCTTGTCTACTCCAGTTAGCGAGAGTGAGATGATTTATCCCCCTTACCTTGCTGAACTGGTGAATAGGCATTTGTCAGAAAACGGAAGGGTCCTTTGTTGTACCAGCAGATCACAGACATGTTTCCTTTCATCTTTATTTGGTACTGTCCTCGAGCCTGGGGAACATCTGAATTATTCAGCATAGACAGAGGTAGGCCAGTGCAGTCACTTTTTCGGGAACTCAGCAGTCCACAGCAGTAAATCTCTGTGGGGGTGGGGAGAAAAATAATTGTAAAATATACATATAATATACATTATAGTATCTTACAGTTTGCATCAGTTTACAGATGAAGAAACTGAGGCACAGAAACATTAAGCGACTCACCTAAGGCCAATTAGTTAGAAAGTGGCAGAGCCAGGATTTGAATCTATGTCTTCAAATTCCAAATATAATTTTAGATAGCTAGGTGACACAGTGGATAGAACGCTGGGCCTGGAATCAGGAAGACCTGAATTCAAATTCAGCCTCAGACACTTCTTAGCTGTTTGATCCTAGGCAAGTTACTTATCTGCCTCAGTTTCTTCAACTATAAAATGGGGATCATAATAGCACCAATCTCCCAGGATTGTTGTGAGGATCATATGAAATAATTGTAAAGTGCTTAATATTTCGTTTGTGCCTTTGAATCCAAGGCCTAGCTCAGTGTATTGCACATATAGGTGCTTAATTAGTTTAGTTAGCATAGAGCTTGCCACATAGTAAATGCTTAATAAATAGTTAAGTCTTTTCACTTCTTTGTGAATATCAGCCTATGTGATGCAGGTTTTTTCCCTATAGGCAAAAGTGAGCCATTGATTGTTTTTTACCTAGGAAACAGTAGGTAAAGCATTGTGGGAGAAATTAGATATGCAAATCATGATGTTTAGGCAGATTAAATCTGGAAGTAGCACACAGAGTGAGCAAGAGAGAGGAGAGAATGGGGCAGATAGACAGGTTAGGAGATTAATACAATAGTTGTGTAGAATGAGAGCTCTTTGAAAGCGGGCGGGGGGCGGGGAGAGGGTGTTTGTTTCTGTCTTTGAATCCCAGGGCAGGCTCAGTGCATTGCACATATAAGTGCTTAATAAATGCTTATTGAACTGAATTCAGGTATTAATGATAGGGGTCTTGACCAGGGTGGTTGCAATAGAAACAGCAAGAAAAAACAAAAAGGGACAACAGCATAGTGTGATTGGAGAAGGAGGGATATCAAGGTGTCCACTGGAAATAGTGTTCATTTAATGAACTTGGCTCAGGAGTCAGAGAAGCCAAGTACAAATCCCACTCCTGAAGCTCACTACCTAGGTGACTTTGGACAAATAATCTTTCCTCCCTGGGCCTCAGTTTTGGCAACTGTAAAACGAGGAGATCAGATTAGATGGCCTCTGAATCCCTTCCTGCTCTGGATCTAAGATCCTAGGATGCCCTCATTTTACAGATGAAGAAACAGGGGCCCAGAGAGTTCTAAATGGCCTTCTAGAAGCCTTCCAATTTTAAATCAATGATTGTTCAGTCTTTTTTCAGTTATGTCTGACTCTTTGTGACCCCATTTGGGTTTTTCTTGACAAAAAAAAAGATACTGAAGCAGTTTGCCATTTCCTTCTCCAGCTCATTTTACAGATGAGGAAACTGAGGCAAACAGGGTGAAGTGACTTGCCCAGGGTCACACAGCTAATAAGTATCTGAGTCTGGATTGGAACTCAGGAAGTTGAGTCTTCCTGCCTCTAGGCCTGGCACTCTTTCCACTGAACCACCTATCTGCCTATTGCTGGACAATAGATCCAATAGTCCTATTAACTTACTTCATATAGGTTATAAATGATAAAACCAGGACTCAAAACCTAGGCCATTTGACCTCAAATCCAGCATTCTTTCCGCTAAAACTATAAAAAAAATACTGACCATATGTCACACATGACAATGGCTGAGGGCTGAGATGATCCTGCTGGGGCATCAGGTACCACTTAGCATGCTTTCTGGGTTACTGCACGAGCCAAGGATGCAAACTTAGCTCAATATGCCCATAATACTATGTAAGATTTCCTACTTCTTTTCCTTCCTTGAACCAGGGCAACTGTGGCATGGGCCCTCTGGAAGACTGGCAGCTGCATTGCAATGCAGTCCACTCATTTGTATCTACAGCAACTTTGCTTTTAAAATTGGCTCATAAGACTATTTCATGACTATCCCATAAAAGATGACATTTTCATAACATCTCAACTCAACCTTCCCTGCAAGGAGCCCGAGGCTGAACCACCCAATTAATAAGTGGGCAAAAAATAATATTTGGCTCCAAAACTATAGTTGAAACTGGTGAAAGAAGAGGTCCAATGGGAAATGATCAGAAGGAAGACAGCTTTACCTTTTAAAAAGCCTGATACTTTCAGATAATCTATATTTGTATTAGTGAAGGACGTATATGATATACATTTCTGTCATGAAACTCCTCCTACTCCAATGCCTTATCTTGCCAGAGAGATGCTGAAGCCTATCTATGCCAGTGGATTTCTGGTCCTCTTAGATCTTAGTAAGTTAGAATAGCTTTGATAAAAGTTATGGCAAACAACGGCATTTCAAAAAGAGCCCTGGCTATGCCGGACCACTGGATTAAAGAACACAGGTTTAAACCACCGATCTTCTCCTTTGTACCTGGGTGACCTTGACCATATTCCTTAACTTCTCTGGGTTTCAGTTACTTCATTTGTAAAATGACGGGGTTAGACCAGATCAGGGTGCTTATCCTTTTTTGTATCATGGATCCCCCCTTTGACAGTCTGGTGAAGCCTAGGGATGACTTCTCAGAACAATGCTTTTAAAAATGCATTGAATAAAATACATAAGATTATACAGGAAATCAATTATAATTCAGTTATCAAAATATAAGGCATCCCAACAGTCTTAGTGTAGTCCAGAAGCTTTAATAGCTTAAAACTGTACTTTTGGGATACCCTACATTACAAAAATAAGTTTCTTGGAACCCCAGTTTAAGAACTCCTAGACTAACTGATATCTAAAGTCCCTTCCTGCCCTAAACCTATGTTTCCATGTTGACCTACAATCCTATGTTGACAAGGACCAGCCTAGCTAAGGTCTGAGAGACATCATCAGAAGCTTAGCATCCAGGTATGAATTCTTTTAGACATTGCAACTTATGGACTGTCTAATAAAATTACAAAGCTTGACATCATGTCAGGTAACTCCACTGATAAAATAACATTTTTGAGGAACTGACAAAAGGAATATAGAATTGGAATCTAGCTCTTGCAATGTGGGATAGAAAACAGGAAGGGTAAAGGTGGCCTCGGGGCATAGTGGGAAAAACCCTAGATTAAGAGTCAAAAAACCAGGGATCAGGTCTCACTTCTACTTGTGTGACGTTGATTAAGTCATTCTTGGTGCCTCAATTTCCCCACGTCTAAAAAGGAAAAAATACTCATACTACCTCCCTCAGAAGGTTGTTGTGGGAAGCAAACACATGTGGATATCCTTTATAAATACTTAGTGCTAGATCAAGGTGAGCTACAAAGAGTCCCAGCTGATCTCCTCACTTTCCAAGCATACTTTGCATGTGGGCAAGGGGGTGGCAGACATCTGCTTTCATTCACCTACCAAGGAACAAGAGATGTTCTCTCTATTCAGTATCTAAACCAAGTGGATGTTTTCAAGGACAGTTCATCAGAGGTTCTCAAACTTTTCCCTCTTTAAATCCCTCTCAAAACTCTGTGTGGTTTCTTTTACTTTTGACACTGCCCCCAACTCCTGCCTTCCAATGCCCTTCTACTGAGGTTGTAATTTATGTGAAGTTCTGCCTAAGAGAATAATTTGGGGTTTGTAAGGCCAGGTCTCTAGAAAGGCTTAAAGATTTCTACCGAGTCATTGTTCTTGAGAGAAGTGACATGGGATAGTAGAGAGCTAGTCTAGATTTAAGTAAGTCTTGCCTCTGACATATACTAGTTGTGTGACTCTCACTTACTCTAATCACAACTCTCTAAGACTGTGGGTTACAAAGGATATGGAGACATGCAGGGATGGAGTGAGTTTCCTCACCTTCGAAGTCTTTATAGCAATGAAATCACACGTCAAGTCCTTACCCTAGTCCTTATTCCTACTATGCCTCTCATTCTAGTAGCTGCTATGGGATGAATGGAAATTACTTGGACAATGGTGGAACGGACCAGCTGTGATCCAAAAATGTGGGACCAACTTTAGAATATCATCAGATTCCCCAGCTTTCCATGGAGCTCCTGGCAGTATCAGCACTCTCGTGTCTCCCTTACTCCCAGTAGCCATGACAGTGCTTTTCTCATCCAATGCAATAACGGAGAAGAAGCCACCATCTTCCCAAACTTTTGTGAAGCCAGTTTCATTGATCCCTGAGCTAAACTGCACTCCTTTGTGTAGTAACACAGTGTGTGATATATTGGGAAGGATCATCATTGCAGCCTGGTGGAAGCTCACGAGCATTTGCCCAAAGGCTGAGAAAACTGTAATTGTAAAAAAGACAAAAGACAAAAAAACCCCAACAACAACCAACTATTCCTACAGGACAATTCTTTGGTGGTCAGTTGCCAAGAACAGAACACACATGGAGAAATTCCACCAGAACCTTGGGTGGAGCTGATTAACCATAGGGTCTTGAAGGTGGCTTCTAATATTAAAATTTTTAGCATCTGGGGGGCATTTGCACCTCTGACCACGTCTCTTTCCAGAGATTCCACTTAATAATTTCTAAGCAATTGCTCTCAGAGCAAATCCATAGTAGGAGCAGGTCACACCACCACAAACCTTGTTTCTCAAACTCTTCAAACAGGGGCAGGCTGGTGATGCTAGGCCCTGTGAAGATGATATAGTTCTTGCCCGCTGCGTTCCTACAGAGGCTCTTGGCCACCATGCTGTGGAGCTGGGGCTTGTTCTTTAGAGTGTCCAGTCCATCTGCACCACCGCCTTCTTTCAGGTGCACATAAATCTTCAAGAGAGAGAAACATACAAAGAAAAAGAGATAAAGTCAGCTTAATGCCAACAGCCTAAGAGAGTGATTAGGTGAAGCCTGAACCTACTACCAAGTGAACTATGACCTTGGGTAAGGTATCCCCTGAGGCTTAATCTCCTCCTGTCCTCACCATCTCTTGGCATATCTCACGGAGGCATGCTATCAATAACAAACTGATCTTGTAGACAGTCTGGGCATCACACCCATTACTCAGCCCAGGCAGTCCATGACTCAGAGTATACTTTTTCACTTTAGAAAGGCACAGGTAAAGCTAGTGTTGAAGAATTAATCCACAGCATGGTAATTTCCAGCTTAATCAGGGCATAGCCAATATTACTTATGGCCGAGGTCATAAGGGAAGAGCCTCTTACATTAGAAATTCTGTGGAGATTTTTAGGCAATACTGTAAGGCTTAAAAATTTTACATTCTGAAGGAAAGAAATCAAACAAGGGTCTTCTATGAGATGAATGGATATGTGCAAAGGTAAGAAATTAATGGAGGTATACAAGTAGATAAGATAATAGAGGCATACAAAGTACAAGCACTGAGGTATAACAGATGGGGGTGGTGTAGATTTTTGGGATGTTCTGAGGAAAGGTAAAGTACTTATGAATGATTGATTACAGCAAGTACAGTACTTCTATAGTCCTGAAGAAAGCAGGGTTTCCCATGGGCAAGTCCATTCCTGTGGTCTTTCAGGACAGAAATATCTCATCTCCTCATATCTAATTGCAGCAAAGCCAAACCTCTAGAAGAACAAAAAGTAGGTCTAGGCTCTATGAATCCTCAAATTCTGACTCTGTACCAAAAAGGCAGAATGTTTATAGTAGAAAAGATACTAATTTTGAAGTGAAGAGAGACCTAGGTTTGAATCCCATTTTAGCCACTTAGTAATTATATGACCATGGGAAAAAATGTCAAATGATAATAATAATTAGCATTTATATATCATTTTAAGGTTTGCAAAGCAATTTACAAATATTATCTCATTGTACCCCCAAAACAATCCTAGGAGGTAGGTTCCATTATAATTACCATTTTATAGATGAGGAAATTGAGGCAGACAGAGGTTAAATGACTTGTTCACAGTCATATGTAAGTGTCTGAGGTCTAGATTTGAACTAGATCTCCAGGTCCAGGCCTCAATCTGCTGCATCACCTAAGTGGCCCCAATTCACCTGACTCCCTAACTCAGGGAGACTCATCTCCTTGAGTTTTAGTTCTCTCATCTAAAAAATGGGATCACAAATACTTGCACCACTTATCGTTTGTTTTATTGTTGAGCTAGGAAAGTTCTTTGTAAACCTGAAAACACAATACAGTTGGGAGATATTGTCATAAAAAGCTGGGGGAATATGAATGAAATCCATAAAACAGTGACTAATGTGGAAAAGGTCAATAGGGACTCATTCACTTAATTCTGAAATACTAAGATTTGGGGAAGGGGGATATATTTTAAAACTTGTATAAAGTAATTTTAGAAAAAATAAAAAGGAAATATTGTATTATTTCACACACTTATAGAATCCATTACAAAATATGGTCCTGAAAGGAATTAGAAATGGACTTTTACAGGGTTTGGATGGATTCATGATAGAGCTGTAAATGGCTAAGAGGGCTGAAAAAACTTAACCTTTAAAGCATCCATAAAATAGGCTATCCATGTCCACCCATGGCATTTCCCATTGTTCTATGTTGCTTAGGAGAATGGAACATGAGTCTGATCCACTATGGTGGTTCCTATATCTCTATAAACTTCTGCAGTGAAGCTTTCCAAGTTTCAGATTCATCATGGGGGGAAAAAGATCTTTGGTGTCATGAACCCAGAAGTCTGAGAAGCTGGTAAGGAGCAAATAGTTGAAACAAGAGAAAGATTAGTTAACATTTCAAAGACTGGCACCATCCAAGCAAATATAAAATTAACATAGAAAGAGTCCCACAGAATTTCCCTGGCTCTCAGACAAAATACATTTGTGATTACAGTAATTTGGCAATAACGAATTGGTTATTGGAAAATATGCTGAGTATGGCCAGCCCAACTATTTCTTCATGGGAGCCACGAGTTAGTTCTGAAGAGCTGTTTGACCTTGGTCCCTCAGTTTCCTCAACTGCAAAATAAGAGGGTGGTACTTACAGATTGTTTAAGGTTCCTCCCAACCTCAAATTCTATATTCTTGTATTTGGATCACTACTTCCATTTTGCAGAAGGACAAAGGAAGGCAGAGAGGAGGGAGGTAAAGAGAGGAAGAAGGAAAGAAGGATGAAATGAAGGAAACAAGGAAGGATGGAAGGAAAGAGGAAAGATAGATGGAAGAAGAGAAGGAAAATAGGAGGAAAAAAAGAATAAAAAAGAATGAAGGAGGGGAAAATGAAAGAAGTATGAGAGGAAGGAAAGAGGGTTGAAAGGATGGAAAGAAGGAAGGATAAGATAAAGGAAGGAAGGAATAAAAGAGATGAAGTGAGAAAATATGGAATGATGCCCTTGAGTGCTTTGTTCTGGTTCAACTTATTCTGGTGTGAACAGCAAGTCATTTCTGAGCTTAAATTGAGGGAACATTCACTACCTATCTTTCAGCTACATATTTAACAATCAAATAATTCTCCTTCCATTAAATTTCCTAGTTATGACACATGTTGAGTTAGAGCTTTTCAATACATATATCTATTGTTCCTGGTTAAGCGTTTTAGGGGGGAGTTTCATTTTTATTTTATTTTATTCTTATTTTTTTTTGGGGGGGAATTGGGGTTAAGTGACTTGCCTAGGGTCACACAGCTAGTAAATGTCAAGTTTTGGTCTGAGGCCGGATTTGAACTCAGGTCCTCCTGACGTCAGGTCTGGTGTTCTATCCACTGTGCTACCTAGCTGCTCCATGGGGGGAGTTTTGTTCATTTGAAAACCACTGGAATACTTTGGATGGGAAGGGAAAGGAAATAAGTATTTATATAATTATATATGTATATATATATATATATATATATATATATATACATATTATATATATTGATATAATGCCTACTATGTATCAGGCACTGTGCTTAAGCACTTGGCAAATATTATCTCATTTGGTCCTCACAAGAACCCTGTAAAGTAAGTGCTATTATTATCTCCATTTTACAGTTGAGGAAACTGAGGCAAACAGGTTAAGTGACTTGCCCAAGATCACACAGCTAGTGAGGGTCTGAAGCCATATTTTTAACTCAAATCTTCCTGACTCCAGGCCCATCACTCAAGCCACTTCACCAACAGCTGCCTGAATATGTGAATTAATCCAAGTGCTCTGAAAACCAACTCAGAATGATACAAAATAGTTATTAAATTTTTCTTATTTTTGACCCCAAAATCCCAGCACTAGGAATTCAGACAAAAAGAAAGTTACTAAAAATATTAATGGAAGTGCTTTTTTGTGGTAACAGAAAGCAAAAATAGAAAAAAGTGAGTGTCCGTAAGATAGGAAATAGATGAACAAATTGTTCTATATGGATGTAATGGAATATTATGGTGCCACAAGAAATGATAGAGAACCATGAAAATATTTGTATGACCTGACACAAAATGAAGTAAGGCAGAGAATATATAGGACTACAATAGTGTGATTTAAAAAAAAAACACAACAAAAAAGTAGCAGAACTCAGAACAAATGCAATCATTAATATCAATTCCAAATGTCAAATGACTGCAGATGTCAAATGTGGTAGACAGTGCCATGCATAGCTGCCGTGTTAGTTTTGCTTGACTTTTTTTTTTTGCAACAAAGGATGGTTCACAGGAAAGGTAGAGAGGATCTATAGGGAAATAACTGTCATATAAAAAAAGCATAAATATGTTAATAAACATTAAAAAAGATGGCATGACATCATAGCTGAAAAATAAATACAGTCTGAGGTTGCGTTCAATGAACCATAGTAGCCAGAATAAGAGTTGTCACAGGTCCAGCGTAACATGGCCTGTTTAAACATCTGCAATGTTGGATTAATTTGGAGTGCCGCTTTAGGAAGAGCATCAACAATCTGGACAACATTTAGTGGAGGAAGACCAGGATGGCAATGGGACTGAAAAATCATACTATACAAGGATCAATGGGAGGAATGATTGGTGTTTAGCCTGGAGAATAGAAGACTTAAAGGAACATAACAGCTGTCTTCTAGTATTCAAAAGGCTTTCATGTAAAAGAGGGATTGATAATTATAGTTCACATTTCTACAGCACATTAAAGTTTGCAAAAATGCTTTACATGGTATTTCACTTGATTCTTACAACACACCTGTGATACTGTATCATTATCTCCATGTTAAATGTGAAGAACCTTAGGCTTAAGGGGACTTAAGTGCCTTGCTCATGTTCACAGTGAATATCAGAGGCAGAATTCAGACCCAGATCTCTTCTGTTGCCAAATCCAGTGTTCCTGCCGATATGCCGAGGAAAGAATTTGCTCCATTTTGCCCTCAAGGATGAAGCTAGGAGCAATGGGGGAAATTTTGGAGGGGAAAATTTGGGGCTCAATATAAGACAAAATTTCCTAACAATTAGTGATTTCCCAAGTAGATGGGGCTGCCTTAGGGGTAAATGATTTGCCCCTCTCTGAAGGGAGGTCTTCAAAGTGAGGTGAACCATTTTTCAGGGGATTTTGATTTAGGTATTGATTGAATCATATGACTTACATCCCTTCCAAAATTGAGATTCTGTGATCAACAGGCTGATCCGATACATCTAGTTACAGGGGTGTCCCCTTCTTTCACCACTCCTTGTGTGACCCTCCCAAACTATATACACGGTCACAAAGGACAACCTTCTTCCACAGCATGATTCATCCCATGAAGGGTACCTCTCCTAGAGACTTCACCAACAGTAATTTACTAAATGATACCCAAATTCCCTGAACAGATTAAAGAACTGACCTCATATGGTAAAACTGCCTTTATTTAACTTAAATCAACGGAAACTTTCCCTGAAAGGCAGCATATGGCACTGAGACCT